AACAATTTGAGTATTGTTAAAGGAAATGTAAATCAACAAAATAAAATACATTCAGATTTTTTAAACTGTTAGCTTTTAAGCCCTATGTATTTGCCATGCATACGTGTAACTTTGTAGTCAAAAGTATGACAATGACATAACAAATATGTCACATGTCACATAAAACCACAGCTTGTGAGTAAATAAACATTATCATAATTAACGATAATGATAACTACTGTACATGATAAAAACATGAAAATGTTTCTTTCTAGATCCTTGCAATGACGGCAATCACGGTACTCTGTACAGGGAGAAATACAGGGGCACTCTATGTCCACACCGGATAGGCAAAACGACATCTGACAGGGACATAACAGAGCAGTGGTACAAGATCAATGGTGCTGATGGGCCTCTGACAATGCCTACAGAACCAGTTCCCATTTTTCAATGCAGCACTGTATTTCCTGGATGGATGTCTGGTACAATCAATAAATCTCTCTCTTCTCTCTCTCTCTCTCTATCTGTCCCTCTCTCTCTCTCTTTCTCTCCCTCTCTTTAATACTTTAACATGTTTAAGAGAAATGACAATCTTGACTGCGAAATATTACATTAAAAAAATTATAGAACTATTTTTGCGTAACCCCTTTGTAAAAACAAGTAGATGTAACTCTGTAACTATAATTTTTAGCAATTTATTTACTTTTTGATAAGAAGTACGAAAGAGTTTTTTTTATAATAAGCTGTAACAATGTGTAAACACAATAAATGCGGTTAAAATAAACAGATTTAGACTCAATACACCCCCAAAGTCTAGCATTAAATTAAAATAAGACTTAGTAATTCAGAATGATTTGATAATTACATAAAGTGTGAACTTTAATAACAGAAGTAAAGTTGTACTTCAATTTGTCAAAAACAGTCAAATACAGAATAAATATTATTTTAATTGGATATATTTTCTTACAATTCTTCTGCATTTTTTATGTAAGTAGGATAAGGAGATAACGAACAGTATTTAAAATCAAAGTCCATAAAACAAAACAAAATAGGAGGAGAGCAAACATGGACCCCCGAAACATCAGAGGTGGGATCATGTGCCATGGAAGAGTGAGCATCCCCTGCCGACCGGTCACACCCGCTGTGTACTCCTTGTCTTGATCGGGAAATAACCGAAAAATCCGTTGTCAATTCAGTGTATAAATAATGGATTAACAATTCTTGTGAAAAACGCCAGTAAGCATTTGACTCAATGATAAATTGTATTTGCTGACAAGGTCACTGTATCGACCCAATCGCAACTTCTCGGGCCTTTCCGACTAGCGGAAAAACGACCACGAAAGTATATGGTAGACGCCATGACAACCCTCCTTTTTCATGATCTTTGAAATAAATGCATGAAGACCATTTATCTGTCGAATATGGAGTTTAACTTTATTTAATGTAACGGTATTACCTTAAATATACTATGGAAGGGACTTCTAACTCCGTCTATCCTACATTTGACTAATTTAAAACAGGAAATGTATAAATTTTTAACATCCGGCGATGTTAATACATTCGAGGTTGTTTTTCCGACCTCTGACGGAAAAACCCGAGATGATGTATCGACCATAGAACGTACGAAATGATGACTTTAAACGAGACTGCTGATACGCTTGTTTCACCAACTTGCTTGATAGAAATTGTTCATACGTAGAGCATGCTCTTGCGTATCGAATCAACCGAGATACATGTATATACACTCCATATGCAGGTGATGAAGGTATATTGCTGCATAAGTAAGGCAATTTGTTAAAGTCTTCACGTTTATCATATAGCTTGGTCGTTAGGTTACCAATACCGTCTTTTCAAGTAAAATATCCAAGTATAAAACTGATGTGTCAGACTCTGTGAAAAGTATTTATATTCTGCTACACTTGTAACACATTTTTTCCTCAAGTTGTTGCAAAATCCATATCTCAATGTGATAAAACAATTTTGCTTAGATTTAATAATTCATGAATTTAAGCACTTATTTTAAATTAACATCAGAGAAAATGCCAGCTTCATTTTATTTCCTACAGGCCAACATCCCACCGTTGAGGAAGGGGAAGCTAACAGAACAGTCTGTTTTACTTCACATCTAGATGAATGCTTCGTATCTATAAACATATCTGTGAAAAATTGTACTGGTTTCTATGTATACTATTTAAAGCGAAGTACAAGTAACAGTGAGGGATATTGCTTTGGTGTGTATATCAAGTAAACTTTAATCCATTTAATTATCATTCTGTATATACCTAATTAAGTGTACGAGGGTCGTTTAATAAGTAATGCAATATGCAGGATATCATTATAAACTGTTTGGACATTTGATTTTATCTTTTATAGTTAAAAACACAGAAAACCCCAGGTATATACCTCTTGTCATCGCAAAGAAAATCAATTTAAAAGATACCATGAGACTGAGCTGAAAACTATTTATAAATTAATGATATCTGCCAAGAAGATGAAAATGAAAGCGTATGTAAAAATCAACGGAGGATTGCACAATGTAAGATTTTTGATGGGAAATAATATTTATAATAAGTTGAGTTTGCTGTTGTTTTCTGGTTATGGAAAAAGAGACCTAAGACATGTGTAAAGGCTAACGGGGGATTGAAACTATTAAGAAATTGCATTATGTGCGCTTCTGATTTCTAAATGATATATTGCATTATTTATTGAATGACCCTCGCACTTATTACTTTTAAAAACTAGGATTTTTGTACATTTAAATCAACATTGAATAAAAATAACGACCGTATAACATTTCAATTAAACTCAATTTTCAAACATCCAATCGTCAGAGTAAAATCGTAAAACATACATTAAAAATGCAAATAAAGGGAAAAAAAACAAAATTGTTATACTGTTTTAGACCGCTATACCGTTAACAGCTAACACGTTTCCTTTTCTTTGAATAGGAACAAATGTGACATGCCCGCCTTTAGGTAAGTATTTTTTTAATTAAAAGTAAATCTTTTAGCCGAAGGTTCAAGTACCTTTTTCCTGATCATTCTTTCCCGTAGTCTGTAGTTGTTGCCTTTATTTTTTCATGTAGAACAAAGCCATGATAGGTTATATTTATATGGAAATCACCTTACTTTTCATTTAAATTAGTTCAAATCATTACCCCAGGGTAGGTACGTAAGCTATGATGGACAATGACGTTTTTCACAAGATGATAAAGGTTTTATTATCTTCTACTAAATCCAAGCTTAATCATTTTATGATCGTCATGAAAACATCCTCTTGCAATGCAAAAATAAATTTATTCACATTATTATCCCCAGAGTTATCGGGTAGGCGAGAATGTACGTGCAATCAAATCTTTACATAGGGATATTTTCTAAAAGTGTTCTTCCTAAGAACAACAAAGCATAGTTTAGTCATACTGAAACATCCTCCAGTTGGAATGTAAATTTTTTCTTCAAATCTTGACCTCAGGAAAAAGATGGACCAGAATAAGTGATCAAATATTCGCTATAGGAATATATAATAGAAAAAATCTATTAAAGTCTTTACCTTCAAAACCAGTCAGAAACAATCTTAGAGCAAAGTTTGTGTTATGAAGTTCGTTAAAGGACAAGATAGGGTAAGAACAGTATTTGGCCCCCGATTTGGGGTGTCTTTCTGAATGATGCAACAGTTTATCCATGAAAACCTGTTTTCACCCCTGCCACAAAATGAATGTTGGTTTTAAGATTTAGGAAATACAGGGGTCAGAGTGAAAAATAGGTCAATTTTCTAAATTTCTCATTTTTATGCAATTTTTCACTAATTTTACAGCACATTTTCTTTTGGAAAACATAGAGCACACGCTTGCCTATCTACTAAATTTATATATTTTATACACTGATATCAGATGCAGTATATATGTAAAAATCTCAGATAGGCAACTGTGCTTCCCGTTGTATCCCAAATATGATGAAATTCCATCAGAATTGAAAATTGGGAAAATGTCTACCCTCAAGTGGCTGCCATGTAGGCTTTGAATCAAAATTAGTGCTTGTCTTGAAGTAAGCATCAGTTTAACTTCTTAACTGCAAATTATCACAGTTTTACCAGTGTTCTGATTTTTATATCAAATAAGGGGCCAGATTCGGCTGCTACCCTATCTTGTCCTTTAACTTATGGCCGCCAGAGTAGATCCGGCCATAATAATCATGTTATCAGAGTTTTAGATTATAAATCTAAAAAATTGTTGCTAAAGAATAAGTCTGCCTGAAAAAGTCCTACGGTGATCGTTGTTGCAAGTTTTATGTAGTTTCTTGTTTTAATTCTAGTTGAAAATTTTTTTCCCCGTTTAACTTTGTATTTTCTATTATTTTTACCGTGTACTATATTCTAAGATCCCTGTGAGGATATGGACAGAGAGGCTGATATAATTGATGACGGTTTTCGCTCTCCATATTGTAAGAGAGATGAATATGATTTATGTGATAATTCTACCTCTGGGTGGCGCAGAATTCTTGCAGCAGACAAATCCAAAATATTAGACATGCCGCAATTTTGCCCACAACATGGCCATTGTGGAACAGATAATCCAGTTTGGTTAAATGGTATAATTAATTACTTTTATTTTTGCCTAATATTATCTTCCCTCAATGAAAGTAATGGTTTTCATTTTAAAATATCTACATCTACTGAATATTGTTTCTTTTATTTCTTTTGTCATTGTCATTAATCAGTGCATGAACAAAAATGAGCAATCCGCGTGTGTAGTTTTCGTAAACAATGGTTGTTCCATCAGTTCTACATACAATGACATATTTATCTTAAAAACAATAGTTAACAAATGTGGTTTTTAATACATATGTAAATATAAACTTTATAAAATGCTGTGTATGGTTGTAAGTATGGGAATTAGCGTCGCAGCAATTGCTGGAAAAAAATTAAAATACCCACTTATGCTTATAAAATTTTAAAAGTTTATCAGTTTGATTGTTTATGAATTATTTATAATAAACGTCTGTGCCGTGGAATTTTAGATTCATACCCTACGAAAGCGGATGGAATTGCAACAAGAACTGTATGTATCAGGTCTGCCATATCTTGCTGTGAATCAAGTTTTACCATTCAAATGAAGAACTGCACATCTTTTATCAGCTTTAATTTGACTGGCATATCTGCATGTTCTCAACGATATTGCTTTGGTAATCCAAACTGTATACATGTACAGTCTTCATAACAACGAATTTTAACTTTAGATGAAAAATGAATCGTGTCTGTATTTAGTATGCTAACACCAACAAGTAACCCTTTTATCTGAAAACAATACGTTAGCATTATCTTTTTTTTTTAATTCAAGGAGACTACCATTGTGACATATCAACTACAACAGCTGACACTACCAGCACAGGGATAATTCAATCAACTAACAGAAATGAGGGAGTAGCCGGTATCTATAACATTTCATTATATATGTTGATACTTCAATAAAAATTATGTAAATGCATTTGTTTTTGTTTTTTTAATTTTCAGGCAAACAAAACCATTTATTATGAAAATACGTTTTTAACATTTCTTTTTCAAACAGTGTTAAAACAGAAAAATAGCTTAAAGGAAGAAATAGCAATCCCAGTGGCTATTGGAACTGCAATAGTTGTAGCTGGTATAGTTGGTGTAATTCTATTTTATCGATACAGTCGTTATA